CTTTGAGATATCAAAACAGCTGATTGCTATACTTGTAATAAATTCAAATACAGAAATTTGATCCACAAATCCATTTTTGTACGATAACACTTCCCCTTTTTCCCCACGACCATAGTGTGCCTTGCAATTGGTACTCTTTTCGTTTTCTTCCATAGATTATTGTAAATTACAATCTTGTGTAGTATTTTTATGTTGTTCTCGTTATTACTGATGATAAGTGAAAAAATCAAAAATAAAAATAAATAATATTGATAATAATAACAGAAACGCTGAAATACTAGAAGTGGATTTAAACTTATGACGACTTCACTGAAGTTTTTTCTTCAAATTACTATTTTGTCAGCTGTACAAGAAGATATATATTTTCCTACATATTTCGTTTATTTTCTTCATTTTTCCATATTATATTCTATTTTTATTATTTATTTATTTCAGTTTTATTACATTTATATTTCCATCGAACCTCAAATATCGACGATCGAAAGCAAACGTCTCCGCGTTGCAGGGCGATACTGCAGAGAATTCCTTCAATCAAGCCTAAAATGGAAATGAAATTTTTCTTCACACGAATCTTCACACGAACCTATACAATACGATATTTTTTGTTCCGTGATCGTTTTTACGATTTTCTTTCCATTTTTCCTGTTTTAAAGGTCTTACCGTAGTTACTTGCATTTCTCTGTGACGTCAAGCAGCTTCAGATGGTCGTTCAAAGAAACCCAAAATCCTCAGAGCGACCCCAAGTCAAGTAAGCCCTAAAGGGTGTGGGTTGTCTTTGTTTCATAGATGGGGAAGGTTCATGTTGGAAAGTGTTCAGCGGATTTCCAGGAGAAGTTGTAGTGGAATAGACTTCATAACGTTCTTTGGTTTTTTTTGAAGAGGTGTAGAAAATTTCGGACATTTCCCACCTGGGGATGACAGTTAAGGAAAGTTGACGGGCTAATGGAATTTTCCCTATTTTCGTTGTACCAGTTCCCAAATTGAGTAGGACCCAAAACGCTAGTGAGAAATGGAGCAGGTAGGATACAGGTAGAGGGGCAGGGAAGATCTTATTGGCTGCTAAACTTCCTACTTACGATTGCCAAACTACTACTGGGTTTCGCTTCGTGATTCGGGTTCCTGGCTAATAACCCTCCATCCTCCGGTGTGGCAAACCTGCTACCAACCTGTGCTGAGACATTACTACGAGTCTAGTACGAGCGCTTGTGCAGTTATTATCTCACCCAAAGATTCGTATCGCACTAAAGCGCCGAAAACTGAAAGTTTTACCTGTTTTTGTGGAGAAAGTCCGGGCGATCTGGAAGAAACCTTGTGTTTCGATTGTCCTTGGTGCTGTTGTTCTAAAAGTGATTCAGTTTCATCTGTTTAGTCCATCAAAGGAATCTTCCACGGAAAAAGCTCCGCCTCCCTTACCACAGAAATACCTTAGCCCCCTAGCCTCATGAGCATAGCAAAAAGAACGGAACATAAGCGTTAGTAAGCGTTAGTTTCGATAACACTAATCCTACAGACAAGACAGAATGATCACTCCTTCCGTGGAAGATTCCTTTGAAGTATCGTTTTCTGTAATAAAGAGGGCGGAGCTTTTTCCGTGGAATTCCTTTGAAGACTGTCGCTCGTGTATTTCCGCTTCATTTTTAATTTTTCTCATCAATTATCAATCTTCTAGCTCTATCAATAGTAGTAAAATTTAGGTAATGTGTGGCTGCACTCCGAAAAAGTCAGAAATCTCCTATATGTTAAGCAAAACAACTCCGTAAAGTGGTGTGGTGCACCATGTGCATCACGCGTTTTCAATCGCTAACGGTGAGCGCTGATGGCAGAGAGTCCAGCGGTTTTGATGACGCCGTTATGCGTCTTTGGTGGAAGGGTGCTGAGGGTGGCTAGGATCACCTCCCAACATTCTTCCACCAATTTAGCCCAATGACATCAAAGCCGCTCCGCCTCCCTACCATTATACTCAATGCCTTGAAAAACTTTAAACGCTATAAGTGCTTTTATGGTTTGTTGAAGGCTCTAAGAGATTGTAGTCCTTTCCAGGGCTGATATTTCGGCTTCTTCGCCTTCTTCAGAGCCTTGAGCCTGTCCCCAAGGAGCGAGAGAAATCACAACTATGAATTTCAGTACAACTATAAGCAGCGTAATTGGAGTGGAGGCAAACAGTTGGAACTACCAAAACTACTAAACTACTATACGAGCATTTGTGTGATGCCTCCAATCCAAAATGGCTTTCTGTATGATACCCTTCTAAAAGACCACAGCATTTTGAGTTACTGAAAAAATTTCGATGCTCTGCAATAGGTCATTTAAAAATGCTTCTCATTTTCCTATAATTGCATAAACTTCTAGCTTCTTAATGACTAGCTTTCGGACACTTTTTTAGAATGAAATGAATTTATTTAGTGCAGTCATTTAATGTATGGCCTTATAACTAGTGGAATGATAAGTTTCTGTCCCTGCTACCGCCTGCAAAAACGCATGCAGCTTAAATTGGCGACATTTTCAAGATGTTCTTCCCCTTTCCGCCTATAATGACTTTATATACTTTCTCGAACACTTGTAGAAAAAAAGCTTTGCACCCTTCTCCGGTGATTTCGCCTTGACTATGTGTCAGAGGCTGCGTCTGCGTCTCATTTGTCTGCATTCTCTCTCTTATCCCTCGACGCCTACTTCCTCGCTCCGGCAGCCAGTGTTTCGTTTTTCACTACAGTGCTCATAGTGAACTGTAAATGAAGAGGCTCATTCAGAGCATTCTGACGATTTCCTTTTTTCACTCGCAGTGACAGGCCACCTAGCAATTACATTTTCTCTTGAAGCTCACTCTCTGCAACTGCAAACATCACATGGCTCTTATGCAAAAACATCCTAAATATTGGTAGCGGGGCTGTAGGCCCAGTAGGCTTGAAACCCTGCATGTGATTCAGATTTATCATTATAATTAATTGCGCAATAATTCCTGAACTTTTAGCTTATATTTCTCCCGATATTGCCGAGGTAGACCGTTTTAAAGAGGAACTGTGCCCACTGTGATAAATTACCATGCAAACTTTGGTGAAACTGGAGATTAGTCTGCAATGGTCCATGGAAGCGGTCCTGCAAGGGGAATGAATATCTTTCCCTAGGCCTATGGATGGACGAGCTCCACGGTGGACGACCAGGTACCAAAGTGGCTAGGATGGAGGCAGGATGTGGGCACAATGTAGTACACTCACCGGTCCTTGTCAGAAGTACACCTCAAGGAGTCGTATACGTATTATCTGCTCTTCGCTTTAGAGAACCCACAGGGGTGCTCTCTAGTACTACGGATAAGATGATAAGGAACGCCCCTATCTTCATTTTCGTCCTTTTTTTTCTAAAATTTTAAAAGGCATCTTCTCTGATCTATACGTATGACCTAGCGATTAGAGAATTTCTACCGCCGCTAACTGCGTCTAAATTCGAAGTGCATGAAAAAATGTTTACCTTTATTGTTTGTTTTAGCAATCAATTACCAACGGGTATGCTCGATGCTTTCTAGGGAATTGGTTGCTGTGTACAGATCCAATGAGTGTTCCGTGTCGTGCGCTTTGTTTATCGAATTATCTCGTGCCTGTTTGCTTTCGATTACGCGTAATTACTTGTATAACTAGCAGTTCATGACTACAGAGTTACTAGAACTTTATCTGATAACCCGAGAGTTTCTACAGTAGGGCTCAACTCCACAATGACAACTTATAAGATGTCTTGTTATTCATTTCAGCTTAAAAAGTTGTTCCTCATCGCACTGAATCCCCAAATTGGCTACGAAGGACCAAACTCAGTGGTACTGAAGTTTTCGGGTCGTTAAAGGGGTGGGCGAGAGAGGAGGTGTGGGGGGGGAGAGTAGCTGCGCAGACCGTCGACACGATTCGGCCGAACCTCTCTCGCCCCTTTTATTCCCACCCCCTCAGCTCATTTCCTGCAACCTGATCTACGTAACGCTAACCGCTGTTAGGACTTTATGGATGAATATTCATGATAGCTCGTTACTGAGAAGACAGTAAACCTTATTACTATTTATTCAGGGTCAATATGTGCAAATTTCGTATTCGTATTGAACCCCGTACCAGTTAGTGAATTGACCACTCTGAATGATTCTTTTTTTTTGTTCTGTTCATTGTACCTTTGCCTTTTTAATTTTTTTCTTTTTCTATGATTTTGCAAGCATTTTGATCTTTGATTTATCCCAAATCGATTTCCTGGCCCAATCCGGGCTTCAGTAAACGTTCCATCATACCACGAACGAGAGTTGTGTAGACGTTTTCGAAACCTATTCCTCATCTTCCTATGACTCAACTAAGTTATAGCCTTTTCTCATTTATTTGTGATCTACCAAAATCAATCACGATCGGTACTTTGATCGTGTCCAGGAAATCGTTTCGGACAATGGGGATTACTATTGTCCGGGTACCCGATACGGTCGGGTGAAGAAAAGTTCGGCGCGGTATCGCCAACCCTCCGATGACAAAACAGTTGCCACATATTTGATCCAGGGCTTAGTCTTTTTTTCGCTCCCCAGAACAAAGAGAAAGTAGGCTCCAAAAAGCGTTCCCCTTTTTTCTCCGAGAATTTTGATATCTTTCTGAACTCTCTTTACAAAGTGATTTTTCGAAAACTCCAGCTCATTTGTCTTTTTCTTGGATTTTTTTTATGGTTTCACTTTTTAATTTGACGGGGAGTCATAGAAGTACCACTTTCATTGCCTGCACTTTCTTAATAGGTTTTCTAAGGGCTTAGTCATGTAGCCCATTCTGTTAAATTTGGTATATTTGATGACAGCACGGTTGAGTGCGCTCAAAAGGGTCGTGCATAAAAACCGTTCGAAAAAAAGGCCGAAAATTTGCTCCAAGTTGTGCTTTGTGAGAGTTTTGACTTTCTTCGTGCTCAGCACTCGAGTGGCCCGATTTCCAGTGGCGAAGTCAAAACATGGCCAGTTGTTCATTGTTTTCCATTTAGAAGACGACATGCCAACGTCGTGAAAAATGCTGCTGCCATCGGTGACCTTCCTTGTCGCTGTGAGCTCCGCCATGGAGTTCACACCGTATCGCCCATCGGAGCAGTACAAATGTGGAGCTTTCCTGCAAAATCGGGTCAAAGACAAAGCCCTCGACTATTTCTATTCAAGCATTGATCATGTCATAACACTGCTGTCAAACCAATTTCCTCACGAAGGTCTGTCCGTTTCTCCTCTACTGCTACTACATTACTTGCTACTTTACTACGAAACGATAAGTTTTCTTGACCTTCGACATGGCCAAGTGTCCTTTTCTGCTTGCACTAAGTAGTAGCTCGCACTCGGGTAGTACAATTTTTTGAGAGACGTTCTTTCCCCTGTTTTGACGTTCTTTTCCTCTCTTGACGTTCAAGGCTTCCTGATATCCTCAACCGGTCAACGCGCTAGTTTCTTTTCCTTTCCTTACCCCATTCGTGGCGGACTGTTACTAATTGGTGAGTGTTCTTCAAGGTCATCTCAAAAAGTAGTTGTCGTAATTTGCGGGAAGAAAACTTTTCTGAATCAGTAATTAAGTATGAGTTATTGATTTTTTCCCGAGCGACCTCGAGGAAGTAGTATGAACTAGAACAATAACAATTCGTTACTAATTTGGCCGGCTGTTAATAGCGCTCCACTACATTTCGCTGTAGAAATAAGACCCTTGAAGACGGCTAGACGGTCGAAAGGTAGGGTAAGGATTTGTGTTTCGAAATAGTAAGTAGTTTAGTTGTATAGGAGTTTGGATTGATAGGGTTGCTAGGATTCTCTCGTATTGTTGTTTGCTTTCCTTTCTGCGGAGCTGAAAGGAAAATGAGGTTAATCTGTTCTTGTTCTGGAATGAGACCTGCCAATGAGACTACTTTCGCCGCTTTTTCCCCCGACTTTACGGGACAACTTCATCCAATCAATCAACTTATGGGGCTACTTTCACCACGCGTTCACCCGTTCTCAACCGGATTCACATCAATTCGATGCTCTCGAAATCGTCACTTTTTTATGTGCACAGTTGCAAAAATTCAACAATGGACCGGTGATCCATTAAAATAGGTCAGTAGTAGCCGCGACACACGGCTGTGGGTGTCAAGTTTCCAAGAGTCGTGACCACAATAGCGCGCTCAGCCCGTCCATGGTCCCATCAACGCTGGACCGCTATATTAACTGGCAAGAACAATATTTATGGTGAAAATTGTCTTCAATAGTGGATTGAGATGTTTTTGGGCTGAGTGGAGCAGCCGTAACAGCAACAGCCAGTCTTCGTACATTCCTGTATAAGCGAAGCGCGAGCAAGCACTCGAACGAGAGCGGTGCTGACGCTGTCCGTAGCGCTGGTGGCCTTGCGTCGACCTCTTCGCGATGAAAGTGGCCAGCCACGGGGAGCGCAAGAGTTAAGCGGCGATCGCGTGTGCGTCTCGCCAACACCGATCGCGATCTTATCGGGCGCTCATCAGCCTCACCATTTAAGCCTTACAGAACAGCTTGACATGTTGCGCAGTTTAAATGAGAAAGAAGAACCTCGCGCGTCGCGAGGGAACAACAACTTGGCGTCCCGTTCCGTATTGTTCCTCTTTAATCGCACTGAATCAAAGGAACTGGTCTAGGCTGTGATCAGCGACGCTGTTTGATAGGCTTGTATTTGCCATGAAACACAAAGGGGACCAGCGAGAGGGTTACGGAAAAGACGGCGGCGAAGATCTGAGCAACAAACTCGTAGTACTGGCAGGGTTCCGCATGAAATGTGGAGGAAGCATAAAGCTTCAGACTAGTCAACTAGAAGGATAAAGACGGTCCAATATTTTCAATATTAGGCGCTATTTTCGAATAAACAAATGAGGTAACCTTTTTACCGTGAGGCAGCGCCATCTTCCTGATTTTTTTGAACTTCTTTTTTCGAAGTATGTAAAAAATTCGAAGACAATGCGCTTGAGAGGTGGGGGGGGGCTGTTTTCCTTGTGGATCGAATCCTAGCTGAAATTTCAGTTGTATTCTTGTCTGTTCCTCAGCAGTCGTTCAGTAGCGATAACGCCTCATTCAAATCCAAGATCTAAGAAGCACTACAATTCAACTCTATGTGACAATTTTCGTAGTTTCTTCTTCAATTACCTTGAAGTCAAATGATGTAACGGCACTATCGCAAGATACGGGGGCGCTCTTAGGACTGAGCCTAGATCTGGGCAGGGAGTTCCGAGAAAATGAAAACTGCTGACGTCCTCTGGTGTCTCTCATCATCTGCCTAGGGCTAGTGTCATTAAGGAAATGTTTCACTGAAAAGTTTTTCACTATAATCGCCCCCTTTTCCTAGGTTGTGTCCTCTGTCGAACTTGAATGCCAGTTACCTTTCGAAACAAAGAAAGCAAACGTCAAATTTTGAGAAAAAAATTTTTTGTGGTGGAATTTTTGCTTTTTTACTAAAATTTGGAGGGCCCAATGCTTCTAGCTCGTGAGTCTCCTTCACTGACACTTTAAATTTGATTTCTTCATTTTTCTTATAGAGAATGAGTCAGAGAGAGCTTTGTATAACTATCTCCTCGCTTTCCTAACTAGTTCCATGAAATACGAGTGAGTACAGTGAGGAAGGGTAGTAAGAGCACACCGGTGGGGGAAGGGTAAAATACGCCCTCTCCCAGAAAGTCTATGACGAGCTGACCATGGAACTTCAATAGAGGCGATGTTTTTGTTTGACTATTTGTTCTTGATCCCTAAGAGGACGATAGGACGACACCGACACACATTGTTTGTTTCCAGAGCTCTTAAATCGACAGGCTCTTCTGGGTGATGTGAACGAAGTGCGCTTATCGATTGAAACCAAATATGTGGATGTAAGTTTGCGAAATTTGTAATGTAATGTTTTCATTTGCGTAGCGATTGTGATCAACGTGGGCGCAGATGCTTTGAGAGAGGAAGGCTTGTTGTTTGACTGCGCGTTGAGTTAGCTAACACTTAGAATCAATAGATTACGTGAGTTGACCCGTGGCTAGTTCGTGTGTGGAACGGATTTCCACTGAGGACCTGAACGCTGAGAATTTCCGCATAGTCACCCTGTCTGCTAATGATCGCCACACCAACTCTGACGGGCTCATTTTACAGCAGAAAAATTTGAAAGAGAAAAGAAAATTGAAAGGAAAAGATGAAAAAAGAAAAGGAAGGAAAAAGTGAAGAGAGTGAAATAATGGGCTGAAAGCAAGTTGACCATCATCAGAATGTCACAGAGATGAGCAGAAAGTAAAACAGAAAAGGGAAATAGAAGGAAAGTTTAAGTGCTTCTTCTTTTTAGAGTCAACAAAATGAGTTAACAGCGAAACAGAAAGGAAGTAAGGCAGTTGGCGGTAATCAGTGTTTTCGTTGGAATGTGCCACGCATCTCGCTTCCATTCGGAATCGTAATCCCTTTTGAATGCGAATTGTCCCACACGATGAATTATATGTAGGGGTGCATGTCAGTGTTTTGGTCCTTCCAGCCTTTCGGGGGCCAATTAAGTTCCCCCAAAGATTGGAAGGCTTCGGTCGGGTTCGGCAAGATTCCGTCTGAGGATCGATTCCGATAATGCAGGTGGTAACCTGCGCCGCTTTCCACTACACCACTTCGGTCTCAAAAAACTCCTACCTAAATATGAAAATCGTGCTGTAAACGTGTACGCAACGATTCATGTACAGGGCCAACCGTCCGTTGGACAAAGTCCAACGCGACGAGAGTAATGCGAGAGTGAACGTACGCACGGAGACACAGACGGCTCGCGGTGGCGAGAGTGAATGCCGGCGCGGAGAGCGGCCAACATCGGTCCAACGTCGCTCCAATATCGGTCCAACGTAACGGTTGACCCTGTTCATGTGCACAGTTAGCAAGCGTGCGCTGTGAAACCAGTTCTTCACATAATTCCTTGGGAAGCATTTCGCGCAATAATATCATTCCCGGGACAAAGACCTTGCGGAAGTCTTTAAGCATCATGTTCTTCAGTGGTGGTCCTGGCAAAGAGGATGGCTTATTGCTACTGGTGTCATAGTGCTCCTCGGTGTTTTACTGCCTATTGTCTACTTATTTTACAGGTATGTTTCTGTGTGAATCTATATTTTTTCAAATAACCATGGTGACCATATCACAAATTTCCTGGAGTAAATAACAAAAGCAAAATTTAGAAGAATAATATTATTTGATATGCCAAAATAAGAATAATAGGATTGAAATAAATCAAAATGAGGAATAGGTCAGCAAAAAAGTAATATTGTTCGTGGTTGTAATTGACTACGTTGTTTCAGCGAGCTTGGAGAAAAAATTTCATTGTAAATTATTCCCCAACCGGAAGTCCCACAACGATGCGCATCTCCATAATCGTTTCTTTCCAGTCTTTGTAAAAGAGGGGTTCTTTGTTTCGCTTTAGTCCAAGATTATCCTTGAAAACGACCGCGATCACAACGCTTGGGAACGGAGAGGTTATTCCATCCTTTCCGTGGAACGCGCTTGTTTCCTAAACTTTTTCTGAATATGAGAACTCTAGGTAGGTGAAAATGGCGTTGGAGGGGCCACTCTACCCATTCTGCTCTGCGGCTCTAACGATAAGGATCAAGATAAGGACGTTCATAACGCTATGGGAAAGAGCCTGGAGAACACTTTTATCCAAAGAAGTTTTTGGTATTCAACGGCTGATCAGATTGGAATGGCGCGGAGAAGCAACCTGACCATGAACCAGAGCCGGATAATTTTGTTAATGCTACGAGGGGGGGGGGAGGGAGCGGATGATGAGCTCTCCAGTGTGTGGACCACTGGAAATTCGCAATCAAAAAATGGATTGGATTTCAATAAGTATAACATTTCCCCTCGTCTTATCAAAGTTATTTTGAACGAGCGTGTTCACAAAGTCTTTATGTTTACCGTTAGAGATATCCTCATAGATCCTTGTCGTTAGAGCCGCAGAGCAGAATGGAGTGACCCCCTCCAACACCACTTTCACCTTTAGATATAATGTTATGTATAAGCATTCTAAAACCAAATTTTCTTTACAGATGTTGTGTGTGTTGCTGTTCGCAATCATCAAGAAAGGAGAATACGGACTCACGTTATGACGGGTGCAAGAGGAATTTCCTGAATGCAATTATGACGTTACTGGTTTTGCTAGACGTGTAGGTTACGCTTCAATGTCATTCGAACTACGCAAATACAACTGGTTTTCTGAAGTATTTCAAGCGAAAGCTCACAGCAAAATAAAAGGTTAAAGCTTTTGACAGCAAGCCCTTTTTGAGACGCGGCCCATTCTACTTCCATTTGTACAGTCGTAATGGCGTTTGAATGCGATGTGGGCCTGTTCAAGGAGTGGCGGGGCCAACCAATGTACGTCAGCGTTTTCATCATCCCATACATGTCTGGTACCAATTAATCCCCCCCCCCCCGGAGGGATGGAAAGCTTGATTGAAGCGCGACCCAGGGTTCGATCCCCAGAGCGCGCGCGTGGTAAGCGTGCCATTTGCCAATGCATCACTTCCGCCCTAAAGTTTACAGTATTGGTAAAAATTGTTCAGGGATTTATCACTGGCAGACCGTCGGTATTCCCAGCATTGTTCGGGTGAAGGCACAGAAGCAATATGCGCAAGGGGAGCATGGCGTGTGATTAGATCCTTACCTACGAACGCGCCTGGGGATGCGCCATGCATTTTGTTCGGCTCCAAACCGTAGTGGCATTCGAATGTTAAATGCTAGAAATGACACTTTAAGGCGCTCACATATGTGATCCATCAAGAACTAATTTATTCAATACGCTATGATCCCTTCATTTGTAGAGAACAATGGCGCTGAGCTCTAGGCTCCATTCATAGTTGAGGCTGCCCATTTTGGGATGCGCCACGTATTCTAGTTCTCCTCGGAATTGCACTGAATTTATTAATTATTTGTGAATCGTAATCTGAATGCAATGTGGCCTATACAATGACTTGCTGGGGCCAGCCAAATATACAATTCAGCGTTTTCATCCTCCTAGGCAAGTCTCGTAACACTAAGTGACCCTGGAGGGATGCAATGCTTAGTTGGCCCGGACGACGCACGGCTCAGGATTTGATCCCCGGGCCGCGCGCGTGGTAAGGTTCACATGCCACTAAACCACTCCAGCCCGCTTCAGAAATTACCAACTATTATAAATATAGCCTTGCCGTGTTGCTTTGGGCGTTCATGCTTTCATGTGTGAAGCAGAACCTAGAGTAAAGTTTCGGTAAACTTCATAGCCGAAAGTTTTCAGCCGTTGTTGCTGCGTTATTGATTACTTTATTTTACTTTCTCGTGTGTTTTCTCATGGAGATTGAGAAACAAATAGTATTTTGCTGTCCAAATCTGGAAAATGATTCTTCTGTGCAATTACAGGTTTGCGGCGGCGACGTTGCTAATCACGGGTCAGTATGCTGAACACGGATTAGAGGAGCTGCCAAACCGATTGAATTATTGCATAGACGACCTCAATCTTTATAAACGTGACACTGATGCTGTAAGTTTTCTCGAATTAGAGCTCATTTATTCAGGTTCCTTCAAAAGAGGTAAGTAGGTCTATGTCACGCACAAGGGACAATTACAGCATGCCCAGGGTGAAGTAGGTGTGCAAGAACGCTCAGCGATGAACGTGGAGGTCCCGAGTGGATTGGAAGTAGAGATATATAAGGAAGACAGTAGAAGTACGGGTTCAAAAGTTTGTGAGCTTTGCCGTGGTACGGCGGAGATAAACAGCTCGCAGAGAAGCGAGAACACGCAAGAGAACATCCTATATGAGAGAGCACAGTTGAGGGATTTCCACGGAAAAAGCTCCGCCCTCATCACCACAGAGAACGGTAGCTTAAAGGAATCTTCCACGAAAAGAGTGATCAGTTTGTCTTGTGTGTAGGATTAGTATTATCGAAACTAACGCTTATGTTCCGTTCTTTTTACTATGTTCATGAGGCTGAGAGCCTCAAGGGTATCGTTTTTCTGTGGTAATGGAGGCGGAGCTTTTTCCGCGGAAGATTCCTTTAATAGTGATGGCATAACGGTCGATGGACTACCACTCATGAACACCATCGGGAGCAATGAGAAGGCCCTAGCGCCCTCATGGACCACTTCCGAGCAATACGAACGTCGCATCGATAACTTGGTTCTAACCACCGAACTGACTGCTTCAGTGGTTAAATGCAGGGGCGTGTCTTCAAACGCATGCCTCATTGTCAGTGCAGATGCGTCCATGGGACCTCAACTCCTAGGCTCACAACACTTCACCGGGTGCCAACCGTTACGTGAGTTATTGAATGATGACTCCTTCAAGAATTCCGAGACGCCCCCTTCCTTCAACGGACGCGATAGAGTCCATACTGTTGCTGAGCCTGGTTCATCTTGCCAAAATCTGAGACTCCACCCTCGAAAGTGCGTCGAGTATGGGTATATGTATATCCTCTTACTACACACCCGGTGAGACCGCAAAATAAAGGAATCTTTTCAAATTTTGTAAGAAAAATTCCAGCTCTCCTGAAGCTGCTCCCTTCCTTGTCTCTCCACAAACATGATCACTTTACTTCAAATACGACCCCCTTCCCAGGATCACAATATGCGATCGCCTAGCTGGGACAACCCAACGGACAGTTGATTCTGCCCCTAGTTCAGGATCCCTCGACCCACGGGACACCCCATTCGTTGCCAATTTGTGAGATGATAAAATTAAAAATCGGGTCTTCCTCATATTCCACAATCCATCAGTAATTGGAAACAAGTCATAGTTGTATAGGTTCTCATTTTGACTATTTTCTAGAGGATACGAAAATTACTGATTGACGACTATCAAATGCTGAATCGTACCGTTTCGTCACAGTTGTCATACGCTGGGCATGAAGTCGTTCAAGGAGTGAAGAAACTTACCGGGGCGAACACGATTGATGCACTGATGAATATTAGCAAAAGTACGTCAAAATAATTCCGCAGGACAAATCAGGATCAGGTTCTGCAGTACCTACTTGTTGGTTACTTGTTTTAGGTGCAGACGAAATAGATCAGTTGATGAAGGATACATACGTGCAGGTGAAAGAAATTGAAGGTGCCTATACAAACCTCGAAGTACGTTCTAATTGATTTTATTGATTCATTTTACTGAATTATAGTTCATTTGCACGTTTAAGTAATCGATCAGTGATTGATCGATATATGTGCGACAATCACACGGTCTATGAAACAGCTGCAATAAGGATTTCGAGAGTGAGTGGGCGTCTGACGCTGCTCGCGGTTACCGTAATGCGTTAGGCTGGTGTCAGAGTCCGCGATCCGTCGCAGGTTTCGCTGATTTTCGCGATTTGCGCGATTCACGCGACGGGTCACGGAAATCACAAGTGCCCGATCAATACTGCAAGGTGTTCTCCAGTTCCGCCGTCACTTCTGCTTGATAGTGATGGCTGAATGACGACTGCTCATGATTCCACTTATTTCATATTCAGTGTTTCAAATAATCACACACTTGAACTTTTTGCGATCCGTCGCGTGAATCGCGCAAATTGCGAAAATCGCGTGAATCGCGCAAATCGCGAAAATCAGCGAAACCTGCGACGGATCGTGGACTCTGACACCAGCCTTAGGTACCATGATTCACTACGCTTATGTCACTGAGAGTATGCATATTGTTGTTCAATATTCAATGTCGAAACATATGTGTGATACGAGGTCAAGGAAGTATGTGTAGCAACCCACGATTTCATTGGAGTTGCTCAATTCTGCTCTCGTCTGCGCTCTCCTGCCTAAATAGTAACCAACCGCCAACTCAAGAGTGCTGCGCTAAGAGTAATCGCATGTGGCCCTAAACATAGCGCGACGTCACTATTTAGTTAAGAATACTCGGTGAGGGGGAGTCAAATTAATGGACCACAATTCTGGCCCGTAAGGACCTGCGCGTGTGAATTTTGAATGCACCAATTTTTGATACGTTCTACTATAAGTCAATTTCGCAGTGGCGGAGTGCAGCGCATGTTTCACTTTTTACAATATTGCCTATAGCGGTGTTTCACCAAGGAGGTGTATACCTTCTTCTAAGAAGTGTTTTTTTTCTTTTGGAGGCTCATAAAAAGCGCAAATCAATTAATCAAAAGCGCATTTTTCAGGTGCAATACAAGCGTTTGCAGTCGACGTTAAACAAAGAGCTGGAGACCTGCCTCAAAAGTGAGATTGACTCACTAAAGAGAATGTGTCATAAAGCGCAGGGCACTCTCGCTGGCATTGCACCGACGCATTTCGATAACAATCTGGTGGGTTCTAATAGTGCTATTGGTACCTTTCCCTATTTTATTTAATTTTGTGTAGGTTCGAATGCATTCAAAATGAACAAAATCAGTATCCTGTTACCCCCACAAAGTGGTTGGAGGTCACTTCGCGACATCGCACCACTAGCGCTCATCCTTGTTCGCCAAATGGATAGGGAGTGCCTCATGATACGCGTTTCGTGTTGCACGTAACACTCAGTGTGCTGCTGCTACTACTGGAACGCGCACCGCGTGCACACGCAACATGCAGTGCGACGTGGTCCGTTACCATTCAGTGTAAATTGTAGCGAGCTGTGGGAGCGACGTCGCGCGGTGATTTCTAGCAAGTACAACTACTGGTCAGGTGAAATCTCCTTCCACTAGCAGAAAACCTGTTTAATAATTGAATAACTTCTCTTCTGACTACAACTCTTGCTCTGTTAGTACAGGTCTCTTTCAGGAAACGATTAGGCCGTCTATAGAAAAAACGCTAGATCAGATCAAAAACGCCAACATTCCTCAGCTTCTAAACACAACACTTCGAAAATTCTCCGAGATGGAGGAAAAAATCCAAGCAGAGATTGACAAGAAAATCCACTGTAAGACTACTATACTTGAAACTTTGTGTAATTTATTTAAAACGTTATTGTATCTTATGAAGGCACGTTGGGTTGCCGCGCATGTGCATTCGCGTACCGGTGGGCAACTTGCATTAACGGAGGATTCCACGATAGGGTGCGGAACAACACGCAATTCGTGCAAAGGATATGCCCCAGCGATCTAGCGTGACCTTCCTAGCGCCGCTGTCGCCACGGCACGCCCACCGACTCCACTACCATTCATTGCAGATTTCTAACCATTCAGCAGAGAGAGAGGGAATTAGCCACAGAGCTGGTGGAGGCTCACCCTTCACGCTGGGTCAAATTTTGAGATTGGGCATTACCGTCTTTCAGTGGAGGTATCTCACACGACCTTCCCTCCAACGTTCGAGGTGGGTGTCACTAAATGTGGTATTTCATTGCACCCCTCCAACCCCGCCCCCAACATTCCTATAGCTGTGAGCATGGGAAGCGGACGAGTACATGCGACTATTGAAATTGCAAATTCTACACATTTCATGCGTTACGGCCCTTTTCCTCATACCCTTCCAGAGACTTGTGAAAACGTGAACCTGTGAACCTTCCCTTCCTATGATCACATATAAGATCATCCTGCTACACTAGGTGGAACGACCGGTTTATCTGGCGAATGGTCTGAACCCGTCAAAAAATTAATGCAGGCTTCCCGGAAGTAATGTCTACACTTCGGTCCACTTTAGCCCAACGTTTTAGAATCAGCATAATTTCAAGTGCTCTAAATCACAACCCAACTCCGCAGCGATCTTTAAAACGATTGAGAGTGGGCCGCGCACGATAATCGCCCTCAAATTTCAGCATCCCAATCCATATTGAAGAATATTTCTGACAATCTCTTTCGCACTGCTGAAACTATCTCCACCCAAATTCGACAGGTAAAAAACTTGACTAGCACCGTGCTTTTCACTAGCACCGTGCTTTTTACAGCATTTTGAGTTGTTTCAGATAAACTTTGACAGTCTCTACGATGTCGTCACCCGAGCTTCCGATCCAAAAGACAGTATTGCTGCGAAAGTTGTTCATTACAGGTGAGTATGGGAGTGGACTTCAGTCAAAGAATTGAATCTTGAAAATATATTTCGCAGTGAAGGTATGCGCGATCCTGGATTCTCAATCTTACTGGTTGACTCCAAGACCCTATCGTAATTACTGCATCAATGGGATAGCTGACCAGTCCGACTTCGATAGGAGCCGGCGCAAGCCCCGCCCACGCGATTAGCGCGCCGCGAGACTTTGAAGATTCTTAGCGGATTTTTATGCTTTTTTCGCTACTGCGGACCAAATGCCACAACTTTGTTCGTCTTTGAGCACAACAGCCCTCTTCCTATTCGATCGTCGTTCCTTCGGAACCATATTTTCTGTAAATAAAAACGCCAATTTTCAGTCGAACAATCTCGTTAGTGATCACGTCGATATTCATGCTGATTGCGTTCTGCTTCCTTCTTGGACTATTCTATGGGATATGTGGCCATCGGCCAACATTCTATAATGATGACTGCTGTGTACGGTCAACCGGTGGACGGTTTTACTCATGGTTTGAATCCTTTTACTTCCCCTATTTCCTCTTTTTTTTCCGAAGTACAATCATTGCTTCAGTGGAATATGGCTGACTATGGCTACCTTCACTGCGCTTTCTATAGTAACAGCCGTTCTATTTTTCACGGTTGGGAACACTTCTGATATTTTATGTCGAACTCTTCGAGATCCTCTCTCGCGTAGCGACATTATTAAGGTAACTCTTGTTTTTTGACTATATGGTTCTTCTGATTCATTAATTTATTTGGTTGCGTGGTTAAAGGCTGTTGTTCGGGTCATGAGTTACATCATATGCTTATAGAAGTACACAGCACTATGTACCGCTGACTGCCTCATTTTTCGAAGACTGAAGCGGGTTTCTCCCGAAATTTCTCTCCATTGTTGAATTCAGCATATTGGCCAAGGGTAGTCAGAGATGTTCAATACGAATATTGCATTCATTTCGTAAGAGAGTGCCTGGTACCAACTTCTCAGCAACCCCGCTGATTTGAAGCATATCGGCGCTTTTTGGTGCTGGTGTCTGTAGCACAAGCGCCAGACAGTCAAACCATGCTATATTCGTAAGCGTCTGGTTGAAGGAGGGTTTCACGATAAGGTCTGGGGTCGAAAAAAGGCGAAATGACCCCTCCCGAAAGACAGGCGGGCCCTAAAGGGTGCAGGAAAATTCGTGTTTCATAGCAAAGATTGCGCCCCAGCGGTTTACCAGGGCCGTACCCGCACCGCTTTTGCCTCTGCACGCCCACCAATAGGAGACCTTCGCCGTCTAGTTCGAGCTCTTAGCAGAGTGAGAGCACTATCGTTGAAGAGAGCAGCACCAATGTGAGAGCATCAGTGCGGAAATCGACTTGCAAAATGAGCCATTTCTCGGGTTCTGAGCCGTTTTTCATGGTTTTTCCTCATCCCTGCACCACTGACTAACTCTGCCTTGATTTCTAATGGGTTGTCTTTTCATCGTAACTTCGCCTTTGAGCTACTCCGATGGGTGAATTCCTAAAAAATTACCAACAAAGACAAAGAGAAACTCATCCCTGTCATGGAAAGTTGGGGCATTTATGGGTAAATAGTGAATTCGGTGCGTAGAAATGACTCATTCAACATTTCTAATGAGCGGTGGTCATAGAAAAATAAATAAAGGAAGCCAATCAAAGAATTCATTCATTATTGCACTGTCCTATTTGTACTATGGTTCAAGTCGCTTTCATCGGCAGAATTCGTACTCCTGCCGCTTGTCTCGAGAACAGTTTTTAGGGGGGGGGGGGTTATAACCGGATGCTTAACAATTGAGTGACGATCGATCTCCTATGACTCTTATTTTTGTAACTTTCAGTTAGGCGAACCGATATTTGGAGATAATGCGCAGTAAGGAGCAACCGAGTGATGACCTGCTATCGTTGATGCGTGATCATTCAATGGCAGATCTGATACGAGCCTGTCAACGTAATGAAACGCTCTACGAAGTATTCCAGATTGATAAGAAATACAATCTAAAACGGCTGAAGGTGATAACTTTGATTGAATAAAACATTTTTCAAACACATTTAAACTGGTTTTTCAGTTGTCTGACAAGCAGGACTATGACACATTGGAGAGATTTCTCAGTATCACGCTGAAGGACCTTCCGGCTATAGGGCCTATCAATCATATAATTTCGAACAGCGATTTTCAGCGGCTGCAAAAACTTGCAATTGAATTCAATAGGACTGAAAGTCGGCGTTTCAATCTTTCTGAGGTCAGCAACTTTGTTCAATCTTTAAATATAACTCTCAGAATGATGAGATGAAATTTTTCCCCATCCCCACCCTTCGGAGCGAGTACGCGCTGCGAGATAACATGTAAGTATCTTGAACACGATTCTGCTCCAAACCGAAAAAGAAATCCTACTGTGCCGTACTGTGCCGTTAAAAGATTGCTAGGAATATAAATGAACAAAGCAGTAGCCCAGTTTGGCCCTGGGATTCCGTTCTCCGGAAAGGAGGGAATAACAATATTAATCCAATATTCTTTATTACGGCGTGTCACTATACATGTAGCCGCGCTTCTTCATAATCCCACTTAGCTCCGCCCAGGTATCTGTGAACGTCCACGAAGCCTACCTTTAAAGGGTTTATTTCTTTACGGAACCTGAGTTTTCATGCACGAAACTTCGTGCTTGAGCACAGAACGCATATATGAAGTTAATGAGGAAAGCGAGTTCCTGTACGGATGCTTTTGAAGAGGATAATCCCAAAAATCTCTTTGTGATGTCAGCTCAAGTCTGGAAAAATTCGCTCGATACCGAAAGTTGAACTTGCCAGCCTTCCATGAATTGATTGAACTATATCTGTAGAAAATTTCGGCGCCGACGGAGAAAGCGAATTAGTGAATGTGACTCGGGGGGCACCTCGCAACATCGCGTCAAAATCGCGGAAACGGTCCGCGTTAGGACTAAGCTTTTGAAGAGGAGAGGAACTCTGGTGTACGGAAGCAATTTTCGTATTCTCCGGAGTTCGTCATTGCTGTTTAGGCTTAGTCCTAGATTCAGAGCGCCTCCCCCCCCAAGCCACATTGCGCCAGAATTTCTAAGATCGATCACCTGTTCATGGTTCAACTAGATAAGTTCTTGAAATTATTCCTTTAGATCAACGCTTCACTGTCAAAACTAAATCTCAAGTCGAAGATGGAAGAGCTCGAAAATATGACCAATTCAAGAGCGGGGAAGCCTAAGGCAGTAACATCGGTAAGAAGACTTCTTTCTAAACTGCTCACATGAATATCGGGAGAGCGGCCAACAAAATCGTCCGGTACTCGGGTCGCCGCCTGCGACCACTTGTGCAGCGTCCCGACCCGGCAATTTTCCGAGGAGCGCAGAATTTTTGTATGGGACAGCTGGAGCAGTTCTGAAGTTGGATATCAAACAGACGGGCCTGGTTGGCGTCCCTGTAACATTCAACTTTGAATGACGTTAACAGAAACTCGTCCACTGCAGTTGCGGCGTCACGGTCACTACCAGTAGCACGGGAGACCGTACCATTCTGTTGGTATACACCCTAAGTATCGTACAATGTGTAGCAATTTTATGGACTGATCTTCAGTGAGCACCTTTACTACACGCTCAATAGTTGTTCTTTATATGGCACTGTACTTCTTCTATTTTCGTTTCCCTTTGGTTTATGTAGACATTTTCTACAACATGATGTCAGAAATTCGAGGAACCTTCAAAAAAGATGTTTTAGATGTTGACGCATATTGAAGACGTTGACGACAGATTTGCCCAACCTCTTCGAAGCAAGCTTACGTCGCTTTTGAAGAACTTGAATCGGCTCAATAAAAGGTGCGCTCTGAAATTGTTGCCGCTTCTAATCAGAATCGCCACCAATGTAAATTTCAGGCTTGAAGAAATAGATGTGCCTGTGAGCACATTGCTGAGTAAACTTCAACATGCTCAAGCTCTCCTTTCTGAGGATTTGCGAGGCACCATACAAAAGGCAGCACAAGAACAACTCAGTGCCATCCTCGCTAATATCAACCAGTACGTCGATCACGTGAAGCACCAGGTAATGATAATTTTGATATTGGCTCAATAAGGGATTGCTCGCTACACGATGAGTCATGACCTACTAAAATATTTGAAGAAAAGATATACTGCATCAGGGGAATCGTGTTCGGTGTACCACTCTCCTTGAGGGTACATTCTGCAGCTGGCTTGTTGGAGCATTCCCTCCTGTGAAAGAAATAGCTATGTCTACAAATGCGGAGGTTGAGCCATTTTAGCGCAGGAATTCAGAGGCCGTATCCTAATCCTTCCTCCGGGGAGATGCGTCCCCAGTAGCTATAATTACATCCTGAGCTCGGGGGAGACAGGACTGTGTCAGGACTCACCATTGAGCGCGTGCGTTGTAGCTACCCCCTCTTGTTGAGGCACTTTTTTCTCTGAGGGGTCGTGCTGGCTGGAGTCCGGCTAGCAAAGTATAGCTGGCCCTATGACGCAACCCTGGCTCCCCTAACCGTAATGTAGGATCATTGGCGGGGGCGGCTACAAGGGGGGAAAGGGTATGAAACGGTCCCATGATAATAGGGGCTTATGGCGCTATCCATGTACATATCAAGTATATAGACCCCACAGGGAGAATGTGTGGAAGCCTGCGTCTCGCTCTTCCCCTACAAACTCTCGCCTCTTGATCCGTTTTTTCCTCTCGGCTCCAAATGCCTCCCATGAGGGTGAGAGTCATTCAGAGCAAGCCCAACATCAGGCTTTTGATCTTTCCGCCCTTTTTTCGCATAAGCTTTGTAGTAGAGCTGTAGTTTGAGGACTCGTGCTGTGCTATGAAAGTTTGCGCTTCAGATGCAGCACGACATCTCGTCTTGTGTCCCCGTTGCGGCCATAATTTCGTCAGCCACAGCCGCAGTTTGTGATTACACAGTTGACCCCTTGGTCAGTTGCCGATTTTCATTTTTCATTTTTTCTGAGCTACGAAAAACAACTGATTGCGACTATTTGCAGAACGGTGCCTGGATGTCGATGCTGATAAGTCTGTTGTGCCTCGTACCAATGCTTGTTTTCGCTACTGTACTTGTTAATTTATACGGAAAAATGCACTCTTTTCCGAAATAGTGGGTCTGCTTCATCTATTCTCTATGCAATCCATGATTAATATGGGTACCAAAAGAAATTATTGATCACTCTTGGTAAATTATTCTGTCCTACAGAATAATTCACAAATTCTATTTTTTGTTTTTTTTTGAGCGTTATTGGAAAAGGTTCCTAATCCTCATTCGCTCCTTTAATTCGCCGCCTTTTATAGTCCAGGCGCCATTTTTTCCACACTCTACAGATCTCCCTATGGCCGATGTCAGACTTGGCGAATTGAGCGAGCCGCTGGCGTCCGCTGCCGCGTTGCGGTACCAGCCAATCGAGCGATTTGCTGGCCGCGACACGACCGCGGATGCTAGCAACTCGCTCGATTCGCAAAGTCTGACATCGGCCTATCTTGGACGTTGATATTTGTTTTTCCCTCACTTGCTTGGGAGGATAAAAATACGGTCCTTCAATGGGTTGACCGCCTCCCACTTAAACGTAATAGTCTAATCGAATTCAAAATGCCACTATGATTTGAGTTTAACCAGAATGCGCGGCACACTCCAGAAAGGGACTGCTTACCTAATGCATAGAGCTTTATTTTTTCATCTCCTTTTTTAATTTTTTGTTTATTTTTTTTGCTTTTTCAAAGATTCTCACCCATTTCTATCATCCCCCTTTGCGATATTCCTTCAAAAAGGCCTTAATTTCAGCGTTGTTGAAACTCCACCAGATCATCATCATTTGTCCTCATTTATCACTGATACTTACGAAACTCGTCAGAAGCCGTGAGTTTTGTTCCCGGAGTTTCAAAGGTTTCTGTAAGTACTGCACTCAGAAATGTTTTTATAGATTTCTTAATCTATACGTTGAAATCCTTTTTTCAGCGGCTACACAAATTACTCCCACACGGATAACTATCACCGGACTTTCCGGTAGCACTGAAGTCCAGCCTCTTTCCTTAGTCATCAGACAACACTTCTTTCAATGTCAAAATTATCCATTCCACTTTTTCTTTCGTTAAAAATCGTTTTCCGAACCAGCTGATTTCAAAGTGCCGTTTGAAAGATATATTTATCGATTGAGATTAGCCATAATGTCCCGAATAAGGTGTGTTGTGGGTCAAGCCTGAAGACGTTGCATTTTGGGAGAACTTTATGTACACAGCGGATGGCATACCATTACGTCATCTGCAGATGAACGTTCTCCTCAGCCCGTGCATGCGCAAGGCAGTGAGGGGCTCTCAAAAATACGGGACTTACCTTCATTCTAAGCAGTCGTCAAAAAAAAACTTGTCAGTTACATTAGCATGTACTTACTGTGATTAACAAAGTGATCAGTTCAGAATTCTGCACTCAGTTTCATGCATATCTATTGCTCCTTGTGGATTATTCATATTGTCAGAGATCTTTCTTTTCTTGAAGCCATTGGCATATCGATTTTGATGTATCACATTGCAATAAAGTTTACAAATTTATGAATAGTCGTCAGATACGGCTCAGTGATACTGGACACCATAAGGGGCATTGGGCCCCGAGGAGACTCGGAGACGAAGGAGTGTAGTGGACGGGCGAGACGCAGATATCTCGCGTAGACTGCAGCATCACGAAGAACAGCGAACAGCACACGCCTATGCGTCCGCGTCCGCGCCGCAGTGAGCTTTTCCATAGAGCTACGTGATACGTCCTGGCGGGATACAGAGTGTAAGCGACTTCAAACATAAGTTCGTGTATACGTACATATTCGCACGTCGCACTGACAACGGAAGTTTACGATTGGAGGAGAGCCAGTCATATACACCATTCGCTTGTCGCCCTTAGTCACGCATTCTCATCAGTTCCTTAATTTGGTTGTATTTTTCTACCATGCACAGCTTAGTCGTATCACCTCTTGGAAGACATGCAACGGTGATTGAATGTGTAGCTCCGCCTACTTGAGTACGAGCGGAGTCTATGAATTACAGTAGAACTATTCCTTTGTATGTTGAATGGGTCCCACCGTAACCACGTTCGCTGTAGGGCGCAGTATCACAATTTTATCGACTTGTTTTTCGATGTCCCTTGTCCTTTTCTTTGCGCAGTCACGACAAGTAAATTGCGTGCTCTCGCGTTCAATAGTGCGTTCCAGCTATCGTGGATTACGGTAATACCAATTCACAATACTGAGAAGTCGTTCCTGTTATAATTTATTCCTCCCATTGCGGGAGCTATACGTGCTCTGTATGGCGACGTGCGTCACATGGTGATGCACGCACAAAAAAAAACTTTGAAAATTATGTGTTAATGTAACCTCTTAATAGTACAATATATGCAAGTCCTTGTTCATGCTCCAACAATAATGCTTCTAATGTGAAAAATTTACAACAATGGCAAGCAACCTCGACTTCCCGCTGTCACAGTTAATTGTAGGATTCACACTGAATTGGCTAAAGAACTATGAAAAGACTTATTTCAAAAGTGAACATGTCAAACTTTACCTTGAGCAACTATTTTTACCAATACCAGGAGTGAGAAAACAATCTGTTACTCTTGCTGAATTGTTTAGAAGAATTGAGAAGGATAAAGGCTCTTAAGGGTTTTGTCTCGCTCCATCGTTTCCTCAGACTGCGTCTCGTAAGGCGGATAACCTTTAGGAATCAGCTCACGAGTGACCAATGATCTGACTCTTCTCTGTTTCGTCTCCTCCTGTGACTGTGATGAGCTCGAATCCTTCCTCAGCTGCGTCTGATGCTTCTTTTCCTCTTCCTTCAACAGTGAAATACTCAAAGCAATGCAGATGAATATGCAAAGTTTCCCTACAATGGGGTACCCGACAGGAGGCCCTTCGCGCGGCAAGAAGGCAGAGACGCAGTCGGGTCTGCGGACGAGCGCGTACACATTGTGCGATGTGGGACACAGTATAATACATTGTATTTAACTTGATGCTAAATAGCATAGTACGCGTAGTGACTCGTCCGCTGACTCCTCTGCATCGCTGCCTTCTCGCTGCACGACAGGCCCCTGTCGGGTACCCAATAAAATGGAGCGCGTCGTCGCCATGAGAAGCAAATGATCTTGATTTATTTCTCAGAAAAGTTACCTTGTTGTGCTCTTCCCTTTCCGCCCTGCGGATCCTCATTACTCTGTGCTGTCTCACAACAGGCATGGTCTGAAAATAAGAACTGAGTTCAGTGAAGTATCCCCATCAGAATAAGCCCAGACCTCTCATAATAAGACTGCAGGATGGCTGAAATATATGTTATACCAAATAAATTTCCCACCTTTTTCTTTTCGCGAACTCTTAGTTTCTTATGGGCTCGCCCATGGTGTGTTTGCTTTCCGGGTCCGGGCCAGCGTCTAACGCGATGCTGGAAATTTTTCGCAATTCAGTTGAAGCCTATGATAATCGAAAAAATTGTTGAAAATGAATGATTCGAGCAATTAGAGAGAAGAGGTTAGGGTTATTACAGTAAAAAAGGAGAAACTCCGAAAACACTCAAACAATATGTTTAAAGGTATCAAATGCGTTTGCAAGGTTTTGTATGGATATAAGGTATTCGTGGCTCGTGCGATCGTAACGATTGTAACGGTCGCACAGCATTAGATTCGTATCGATTTCGAATACTCAGGCAAGTCTGGAGATCGATATCCAATGCTGCGCGACCGTTACGGTCGTTGCGATTGGACGACCAACTATACATGCGCCCTACTGGTGCATGAACACCGCGCGATTTCGTCGCATGCGATGACAGCGATGCACGGCGACTTCTGCGGCCTGCTCGAGGACGTGATTGCGACTGTCCACTAGCGGAAATTATTGATAGGACTGGGGTTCACTGTAAACGAACTTGATGTGTTTGCGTAGGTCTTTTCTCAAGAGGCATTTCTTCACCATCGTTGATCTCAACAGCTTTAACCAGCTCCAATGTTCTGCGTGATCTCTACAAAAATGGATGTGATAGTGTACCAAAAATGTTTACTTCCTGTGAAGTTACTAAGTAAGTTGATTCAAATGTCCCGCCGCCCGGTGACATATCGAAAATTGTTTGCCATTCAATCACCCGTGGACGTTCTGATCAATATACTGGAATATGTCTTGCTACAACTTGCGAACCGCTTCCACCGTCTGTTCTCTGTTCAGCTGAAGAATACCGGCTGAAACCTAAACATCTGGCACGGGTAATGCCTCATGTTAGTCAAGAGGCACCGTTTTCTCTCGGTGGTGTTTTCCAAGAAATGTTAGGATACGGCAACCTCTAAAACACAAACTTGTTCAGACTGGGTAGGTCTCTTATCGAGAGGTTTCTGTTCACCATCGTTGAGTTCCCGAGCTTTGGGAAGCTGTTCCAGTGTTCTACGTAATCTCTAGAATAAAAAAAAGGTATAAAGGTGAAGAGCACTGTTCATTGTCAGCTCAATAGCAGGCTTTTTTTCCGGTCTGATAAAAGAACATGATTCGAAGCACCCCGATTACAAACTTGATGTGTCTGTGAAGGCCTCTTATCCAATGGTTTCTGTTCACCGTCGTTTATCTCTTGTGTCTTCACGAGTTCCAACGTTCTGCGTAGCCTCTAGAATTGCAAGAAGTTACTGAGCCAGCAAAAATCGTGCCTCACAGATGGCGGACACCAGACCTCAAAATGACTGTGTCTACATAGGCAGGCTGGAAATCGTGAACTCCTCCCAGTTGGTACGAGTTGATGGCGGTCTCTTCTATCAGATACAGCGCACGACAACCAGCTCTCATTCAAACTGGGTGGCACGTATGGGCCTCTTCATGTACCAGTCTGTTGAAGTGTGACATGGGCGAAATCATTTTTGAAAGACCTCACTTGATGTGTTTGTGAAGGCCTGTTATCGAGTGGTTTCTGCTCACCGTCGTTTATCTCTTGTGTCTTCACGAGATCCAGCGTTCTGCGTAACCTCTAAAATTACAAAGGCAATATTGCACTGGCAGAAGTTGTGCTATGGCAGTGAGGAGATGCCAGACGGATGGCGACACCAGATATCAAAGGCAGTGAGCACGATGGCTGTGGGGTGGAGCGGTTCGATGACGTCATGGTGGATCAGGCCTTTTAGCGCGAAAGCGCTGTGGTTGAGTCCACCTCCTAACGCCCTTCCCGCAATCACGCTCAACGTCGTCACCAAAATCGCTCCGCCCTCTGGCCATCGTAGTTACCGTTTCAAAAATGAACGTGTCACACTGAGGCAGGCTGAAAACCGTGAACTCCTCTCAGGCGGTACGATTGGCGGTCTCTTCTATGAGGATGCAGTGCACGACAATCATGACCTCATCCGAACTGAATGGCAGCATGATCCGCCTTCATGGGTACTACACCAACGTGAACTCCTCCAATTCCTATGATGTGGGATAAAGGCCAGGTTGTTTATAATAGGCCTTACTTGATGTGTTTGTGAAGGCCTATTATCGAGTGGTTTTTGTTCACCGTCATTGACCTCTTGTGTTTTCACGAGTTCCAGTGTTCTGCGTAACCTCTAAAATGGCAAAGGAGTCATTATAGTGAACGCAGTTGTGTGGTGACACTGCTGAATGAATTGCTCAATGAATCTCATTCGTGGGTAGAAGCACCTTCTGAACTGAGCACGGTTTTTTACTCGTAGAGGTCAGGGCACGCTAGTAAAATCTTGCACGCAGTACGGAGTGCGCGCGCTTACTTCCTTAATTGAAAAAAAAACTTTACAAAGCCTAACATCAGTGGATAACCCTGCACTGGCTAACAAGCTCGGAGAAGTTTGAAATATAACAAACTTGTCTCGAATGTGATTCATTCCTATTAAGAGGCTCCTGTTTACCGTAGTCAAGCTCCTGCACTTCACCATGTTCCAAAGTTCTGCGACCTCTCTATAACAAAACGGTTCATGGAAGTGTAGCGAGGTTATTATCAGCGGTCGATTAACAGGGATCCCCTTCCTTTTTTATTTCAGTGAATAGCAGGAACTAGGGTGTCTGGACTAAACGTCCACATGTACAGGGATGGCGAAAAAATAGACACTTTGCCCATTGCGTATATATCGAACTATTCGTCACACAGGGAGATCCAATGAAATTTTTACGGCGGAATATTCCCTAGGTGCTCCCCCATAAACAGAAGCAGACTCTCCTTCGCTGCCCCCACCGTCCTCAGAATGTAACGACATCTGCCGCTACCGTCGAGCTCAACCAGCCCTACCGCTCCGGCCTGAAGCTGGAGCGATTACAGAAGGCTGGAAGCTACATAATTCCTTCAATGGATTAGCTGTTGAATAGCTTCCCAGAGACATTAGCTGTGACTATGCAAAACCTCTTTTGACCTGCGTTTCAGGGACTCGTAATGGTATATGATACCTCGACGACCCCCTTGAGCTCGTACCGTGAGCCATGTTTTCGTGGGGAAATCTTCTGACGGTGTAGATGGCTATCATGTAACTTTAGACAGATTAGAATGTGGTCTTCCATGGAGTTGGAGGCAGTCGATTTGATTCAAGCAAAGTGTGATTAATGATGTCCGAAATGTGGAGTGAAGTGTCTCTTTTTTTGGCTACCCCGTATGCCTAATAGGGGCCGTCTTGTGAGGGGGTCTCAAATAAACAGTTTTCTTGTTATTTTTAAGCAACAACCCCAGATCAAATGGGTGGGTAACAGCTCGGTGGTGGAAATGGTGATACCAAACTGACCGGAAATGAAAGGAAGCTAAGCAAACAGACGATAGAGCCCTAAATCAAGTACTCCCTGTCTGTCCCTTGCAATGAATGAGGGGCGTTCCAGACGAGTTGTCTAAACTTGCTTGCTCCATGGCTCCATCTGCGTTGAGAGAGTGTAGAGAGTTAGAGCAGAGCGTCAGTGCTGATGACGTCACCTATCGTAAAATCTCGTCCAGTCGGGAACCAGCGGGACGGAAAAAGTGTTCATTTTGCGGGTTCTAAGCCGTTTCCGCTGGTTTTTTTTACCACTGCATTTTCTACCCTCCATCTTCATATCCGACGACCAGTTTATCATATCACCTGCCATTGATATAAGATAGCATTTAGTTCTCCGATGAGTGCTTCTATTATAGCAGCGTCGTTCAAATATCAGTGCATCAAAAATTTTAAATTGCTGTGCGCGGCAATCTACGACCCATACCTTAAAAAGGAAAAAGGTACCAATAATTTGTAAACGAACGTGTTTGATGTGGTGTCGTTTATCCTGCACCTCATCCAACGGAATGTGTTTGCCGTCATTGAGCTCTGTAGATTTTCTATGAAGTTGCATGTTGCCCTAGAAAATTTCATCAACTTTATCACTTTCTACAGAGAATGGAAATGTACACCACAGTAATTGAACCCTAACATCGTTCTTGTTCGAGATGCTTCTCCTCCTGCCGTACTTAGCGTTCTCATCAAACTCTCTGGATCTACGTAATCGAGCCTTAACAACAATATTCGCAAACAACATAACACTCTCTCCTATAGTTATAGTATCAACCTCGAGCACTACGATTTCCTTGGCATCGGTGGCGTTCTTCTCCTTCTTATCGTCGTCTTTTTCTTCACTGCTCTCCTCCTCTTTCTCCTTTGCTCCTGTTTCCATGCCGCGCTCACGCTCTGAAGCGGCCTCCATTGGCAACTATTCAACATTCTTTATTTGCCCTTGCATTACTGTAGAAACATAAATTGAAGTACAATTGCTATTTGGTACACCTACCTCTTTCTCGTTCTCTGTTCCTTTCGCGAGCTTTTTCCGATAGTCCTTCAGATTCGCCGAAGCCTAAAGCGTCGATGTTTGATGATTCCGTTGTTATGGCTGTTTTAGTCAAGAAGGCCCCCACTCTTCAGTGTTTTGGAACTTATCGACGAATTGGTGGCGAAAATGAAAGCATGGGTGTCGAAATGACTGAAAATGCACAAAGAAGCAAAGCAACGGAAGCCCTCCACAAGGCCTCCCTTTTTTCCCCTTGAAATGAGGAGGCCTTCTCCGGACCAGTCTTCTGAGCTGGCTTGCACGGCAATTTGAATAGCCGTTATGCTGTACGCCACGTCAAGTGTCGTGAGGTGTGCGCGAGGTATCTCGTCCATTAGTGTCATTGGCTCACTTCGTAAGGGCCTAGCGCCACGTCGCCGCGATAATGGCATTTCTGTAGCATTTATGGGCTGCTCCATCCTACCCATAGAATGGGTTGTTCCACGCTATCTGGGGTTGTTGCTTCAAAGACTTTACCCCATTTTTCACGACGATATTTCTTAAATAAAACCTACCTCTTCTGCTCTCGTCGTCTATAGCGCTTTCGGTTTCAGCGGACTTCCCCTTATCACGATTCTTCTTACGGCTTCTGTCTCGAGCGCCGTCTGCTCCCATGACAAGCACAACGGCTAACACCACCAGTACTACATTTCGAAATCGCATCTGTAAACTATTTCAATGAAAGTGTTAAATGTGAATGGCCGCCATTACTGTAGACTGTGTGAATCTTTAGGCTATCAAGTTAACAAATAGATCATAAAGATTAGCATCAGACGAACAACAGTATATGTTTGCACAACAGAGTATCCCAAAAAACCTTAGTGGGTTATAAGAAGCGGGTTGAAAAGAAACTGATCCTGCACATGTTGAGAGCCACTAAAGAAGAGAGTAAAACATGAAAAGCAGTGTGGTTATCAATAGCGCTTATCTTTTCGAAGTCGAACAAATAAGCAATGAGGCAATAATAGACAGGCAGCCGAAAAGAAAATTCCGACGGGGTGTGCGTTACAGCAATCGATTTTTTTTCAATTTTTGTGAGAGAAGTCCTTATTGCCATAGATGAGTGTGGGTTCTCTAAAGGCGAAAATTAGGCTATGAGCAACAAATGGCCCTAATAAACAGAGGACGTCATGTACAAGAGTCTCTCAAAGGCATGGAAATGCTCAGAAGGCATTCTCACTCACTTGGAAACCTTGCAAGGTGAAGGAAGGAATAAGCTATCTGATCATCCCCCACTCGGCTACGCCACGAACTCAAGTGCTGCCCGGCACGCCAGTGTCACGCCAGGAAGACATTCAGGCTGCAGAAGGACGCATGAAAGCCAACCGATCTCTCATCCATATGCTTTTCTTTCCAGCTTTTATGTCGATGACTGTTCTTACTGCTGTCTTTGCTATAATAGATAGGGTCCACGAACTGAACCACGGCGTGGCGCGTAGAGCCAATGCGCAATCTGGGAACTTTTTGAAACTGCTATACAGCACTCAATGGATGAGGATTGGCAGAAACCCAGTGCAGCACCATTGTGGAGTGAATCCCATGGATTTGCAGCTGGCCTAGGCATTCACTAATGCGGAGCAGCTACAGCTGAGATCGTCTTCCGTGCCAATCTCCTTTCGAATAAGGATCTGGTATCTCTAATCGAGCGGACATCACAAACCGAACAAACCCGGAAGAGGCCTGGTACTGTGTGACAACGGATCGGATGTTCGAGGCAACTGACTTTCCGCAGACAAGAAGCAAGCGTGCTAATTGAAAGGAGATTTCACTATAAGGTCAGAGTCTAAAGAAGCGGTTAGTAAGCACATCATGCGCGGAAACAGGCCGAGTCGCCAAAACTGGATGTGTTGGCAACCCAGATGTATTACCAATTCAAATGTCTCATAAAGAAGGCAGATGGATTAGGGCTTCTAATACTTAAACATGCACAAACAACTTTCCTAAGAAATGATCCATTGCGCGAGATAGGACTTTTGCCGCGGGTGGCTGCGAACTGACAACCATCTAATCCTACTTCGGCAATTAACACGAATTCCATTGGCTATAACTTGCACAAATTCGCCGACTGAACCTTGCTTTCGTTAGTAACCTGTCGATGGGAAGACATCTAGAGGGTTAGGATGGGACCACCGACGGTACCTTCCACGCCCGCAATATACCATTGATGGCGCTCTTTTCGCCGCGAACGAATAACTATCGTCTAATCGTGAACGGTTTACCCTTGCAGCCTATTTTGCTTCTTCACAAGCGATACCAAAATATAATTACCACCCATTTCGCCTCTATTCTATAGCGAACGTACTGTATTTTATTAAGTAGGAAGGCTATAGAATTAGTTTCTACTCAATCCTTCCATCTATCAATATCCTCCTGCAGACTCTACCCTCCCCACTGCCTCAAGTGGACCTACATAAACCAAATGTCAGACGATGCGGAATGGGCCAGCAGCTATGTACCTTATGTGGGCCGCCTTAC